AACTTTTGCTCTATAAATAGAGTAAATTATTAAGAACATAGGAGAATACTAGCAAGTGGTACAAACCACCAAAACCGCCAAATTAAAGCAAAAAGCTAGGAAAATCGGGAAAGGGAAGATGTGCGCGTGCGTTCAAATTATATCAGAATATAAGTCAATTTGTGGCGGAAGATAGATCTTAAAACCTATAGAAAGGCCTCCGTAACGGCAGAGGAGACTATTTACGTCAGCACTAAAAAGAAAAAAAAAAGAAAAAAATAAGAATAGACCTAGGGTCTCGTTCAGCACTGTTTATGCGTACCAGGGCTGACAGAGAGTTCGTACATGTCATATTGAGCCATCGGATAATCCGCATAAAACTTAAAGTGCAATGACTTTATGAGCTTCTATTTATAATAAAATTATTTACTTATTAGAGGAGAAAATGAAATCACAACTGCCAATCAACAGTTATCAGTGGTCTCCAGATTCAAGGACACTTTTAAACTAATGTAGTAACTAGAGTATAATTATTTGGGTTAGAAATGTTTTCCTGTGCATACGATATTACAGTTTATACTTCAACTGTCTTTGAGATCCAATCCCAACTAGGCTGGGCTTAAGAGAAGTTGTAGCCTAATTGGCACAGTTGTTACATGGATATGATTAATCTTCTTCCTTTATTATCGGATATGTAACCGAACAGTGCCTTTAAAGTAGCTGTAATTAAACCCCTCCTTAAAAACCCACTCTTGACCAGGGCAGCTAATAGATGCGATTTCTAACCTCACCATCTCTCGTAAGATTCCTGGAGAAAGTAGTCGTAAACAGTTGTGTGACTTTATTTACATAGCAGATAAGTTTATTAAATGAGGATTTTCAGTCAGGGTTATAGGAGTTCATACAGCAGAGAGACAGCTATGGCCCAAAGTACGTAATCCTTTGATTGCTCTGAACAATGGAACCCTTGTCTCTTACTCTGTATTCATATAGGAATTAGTGCTGCAGTTAACAGCCAGTGACCATAATAATCTATCTTAACCAAGCGACTCTGAGAATCAAAATCGCGGCATTAAAGGAACCCCGCAACTAAGCTGGTTAAGTCATACCTATCAGCCATCGTTCCGCAGTATGTACATGTTACATGAATCTTCCACAAATACTAGAGTTTAGCCTGGAGCTTCCACACAGGTTCGTACTTCTGACCCTATTTATTTACTCTTATATATGCTCCTTTAGGACAACATTATAGAACACCCATTGACTTTGCAACTGCTTATGCAGATATACCAGATATACTATCAATCAAGCCCGATGCAAATTAATCCAGTTATCTAAATACAATCGCAACACAGGGCGATGTCTTAACGGACCATCAAAATCCTGGAATGACGCAACAAAAAGACACTGAAATCCTTATACTGTGGCCCCAACAAATCTTACGAAAGGCTCACTGTCTGATTAATACTTTGATGGCACTATTGCCTCTAGCACCCCTGCGTCATCGATCTCCGAGTTATCTCTTGAGACAGGGATTCCGTCACATTTAACTCCATATAAGTAGCAAGACTTCTCTAACTTGCCTTCTTTCATTTACCTAAGTAGATTCACAAATTACGACAATCCTGTCACAGCACAATGCCAGAAAACTACATCCATGCATTGTTACTGTTAGGCTGGATTACTCATCTCTTTACTTACTCAGGTTGCCTAATAAGTCCATTTAACACGCTCCCAATGAAACTTCACAACGCTGCTACACGAGTACTGGACAGGACCTCTCCTCACCTACACAGCTTTCATGCAGTGCCCTTCAATCTTGAAGATCTCATAGTACCCATTGTGACCCTCTAAAGACACTACGTTCTCTGAATCTGGGCTACTTGTGGCTCTCCTATAGGTCTCTAAAATAGAAACGTGAGCAGAGCCTCAGTTACCAAAGCTCCTCTCCCCTGGTCCCAGCTTCCAGTGTGAGGTCACGGAGGCAGCACACCTCTCCACATTAAAGTAGGCCTAAAGACTTCCACCTTGATAAAGCCTTATACGTTATGGGCCTATCAGGTGAGTCCTGAACCATGCTTCTTAGTTATGCACTGCTGATAGGGCCTAGACATCGCGGATTTCCCACTGGTGCAACTGACCTCCATCTTCTTCCTCCTCTCTCTCTTTCGCCACTCATCTCCATGTTCCATTAATGCCATTTAGCTGAACGGTTCACTTCTTTCCCCGAGTTCTTGTGCTTAAGGGGGTCTTGCAGTCTCTATCGATCCGGTGACCCTGCCATTGTGCCGCCATGACACTGAACATTGAAGGTTGTTTTTACGGCAGCTGAAGATTTTATGGGCAGCCAGTGTAGGAGACAGGCGAGCAACAGACTCATATTCGTTAATATTCACTGCTCAGATTAATTTTAATGAAACACTTGTTCTGATGGGTGGACCCTAGTGTACTAAAACGTTAAACTGTAATGTTCATAGTTTTTAGGTAAAATGAAGACTCTAGTGAGTGGTCGTCTGCCTAACAGTTGGGGTGAGACGAGAGAGAGAGAGAGAGAGAGATAAACAGACAGCAAACAACAGTAGCAACAACTACACTAATAGTAGTGACTGATGATGATGAACATGAAGAAGATGATGGCGACGACAACAATGATCCATCCATACTGTCAGAAGGTTGAACATTTATATTATGTAAAGACGGTTTTATACATCCAGAAAATTTCTAGAAAATCCAGACCAGGCCTCTATTGGAGACCTGTGTTAATTTGTCAAAACGTGGAGCCACAGCAGGCTTTTAAAGGAAACCTGCGTCTATTTGGGACCCTGCTTTTATTGGAAGTTTTACAGTAACTGCATAAGTGTTTATGTGACACAGTCTACGTTGACATTAAACTATACACTAACAATATGTTTATCAATATATTTAAATATAGACAGATACTGACACTGTGGGTGTTTCTCAAACCCAAGAATTCAAAGATCAGATTTGTGTTGGTGAAATGTTCAGCACGGAGGATTCATCACTGATTACTCCTCAACTGTATACTAACAGTGTAATTTGTAATAATAAAGCAGTGACTGTAGACCTTTCATACTGCTTCTGTTGTTTATGTATTTATCTTGAAAGAACTGTCTAAAGTGTCCAATACTGCTTTTATATTGTCACTCCATAACTACAATGATAGCTGTCACAAGTTCTATTCCTTCTGTCACTAACACTGATATTGCACTATACTTCATATCAATTTACCAGATTTTCTTTTATTTCTTTATCTGCTTTTAAGTAGTATGCATCTGTTTTCTTTCTAAGAGGCTGGTGACTTTACACAACCAAACCACCATTTTGTCAGAGTGTTTAAGGTCTTAGAACAGTATGACTTCAGTATATGAAGGTCATTCCCATGCTCTATTATGTCTCATGTGTGTTATAATCTGAGCTTTGTTGCAGTCTCTAAAATAATTAACGTGGGGGGCGGAGATAAATAATAGCATAATGGGTGTGTTTTCCATGGGAGAGATTAAGTGGTCCAACACTTTCACAGTCTCTAGTTTGTGCTTGCGCAGTTTCATGAGCCTGTGATCATCCTCGAACAGCAGTTCCCAACCTTTTTCCTTAAGGGACCTCTGTTCTATCATTTATTCAACTGATCATTCAACTGATCACCCCTGATTAAGAGACATATTTTGTGGATAATCCACATTACATGCAAAACTGTACAATGAACCTAAACAGTGAAATCAGCAGGAAGAAATTGCAGATTATTTCCTGTTTAGGGAACTTTGTATACAATTCTCTGTCTATATTATATATGTGTTGTTATTTTTAACTATCATAGAGGCTTATTAAGTTTCTTTTTTTGACAAATTTGGTGTTTTGTTGTGGCAGTTGGCCATTGTTCTATTAGACAGTT